ACACAAGATGGTCGAAACTTTCGCTATCTTCCATGACTGATCTAGAATTGTCTAGAACTACGCGTTGGTAGTCAGTTTTACATTCTTCAAAGAAAAAACCGCTTTCACGTCGGCCTATTTAAGCTTGAAACTTTTCTTTTGATTATATCGGGTATACTATAATACAGTACCATATCATAACTAGATAATCTTGTCTCTGTGTCTCTACTAATACTGGTACTGGGGTATCAAAGTGCAAGATCTGTTACGAATTTTCGAGAAAATTACAAGGTAAATAGATTCTGAGCTTTGCACGAAGCTTTGTTAGGATATGAGTTAGTTTTGCTTGATAATTGAGCGAATTCTTGGATTTCGACGTTAGGATAGAATTACCATCAAAGGTTTACTTGCAGTACCCTTTGCGATGCGATGGAGTTTGCTTCGATTGGGTATCGGCTAGATGGGACGAATGGTAAAGGAAAGAGATGTGTTTCGTCGTGGGGTCTGCTAGGTAGCCGTACTGATGGATGAGTCCATTAGCAGGCCACAAGATGCAACGCATCCTTTCCTTTTCCGTCCGTCCCATTTGACCTGCTAGTGCACTCATCCGTCAATAAGGCTACCTAGCAGGCCCCAGACGAAACGCATCTCTTCCTTTTCCGTTCGTCCTATCTAGTCGATGAGTCTACTAATAGGTCCCAGGACTAAACGTATCTCTTCCTTTTCCATTCGTCCTATCTAGTCGATGAGTCCACTAGCAGGCCCCAGGACAAAACGTATCCCTTCTTTTTCCATTCGTCCCATCTAGTCGATGAGTCCATTAGCAGGCCCCAGGACGAAACGCATCTCTTCCTTTTTTATTCGTCCCATCTAGTCGATGAGTCCACTAATAGGTCCCAGGACGAAACGTATCTCTTTCTTTTCCATTCATCTCATCTATTCGATGAGTCCATTAATAGGCCCCAGGATGAAACGTATCCCTTCTTTTTCCGTTCGTCCCATCTATTTGATGAGTCCATTAATAGGCCCCAGGATGAAACGTATCCCTTCTTTTTCCGTTCGTCCCATCTATTTGATGAGTCCATTAACAGGCCCCAGGATGAAACGCATCTCTTTTCTTTCCATTCGTCCCATCTAGTCGATGAGTCCACTAGCAGGCCACAGGACAAAATGTTTCCCTTCTTTTTCCGTTCGTCCCATCTAATCGATGAGTCTAATAATAGGCCCCAGGACGAAACGTGTCTCTTTCTTTTCCATTTATCTCACCTAGTCGATGAGTCCACTAGCAGGCCCCAGGACGAAACGTATCCCTTCTTTTTCCATTCGTCTCATCTAGTCGATGAGTCCACTAGCAGGCCCCAGGACGAAACGTATCCCTTCTTTTTCCATTCGTCTCATCTAGTCGATGAGTCCACTAGCAGGCCCCAGGACGAAACGTATCCCTTCTTTTTCCATTCGTCTCATCTAGTCGATGAGTCCACTAGCAGGCCCCAGGACGAAACGTATCCCTTCTTTTTCCATTCGTCTCATCTAGTCGATGAGTCCACTAGCAGGCCCCAGGACGAAACGTATCCCTTCTTTTTCCATTCGTCTCATCTAGTCGATGAGTCCACTAGCAGGCCCCAGGACGAAACGTATCCCTTCCTTTTCCATTCGTCCCATCTGACCTACTGGTGGACTTACCGGTAAGGCTACCTAGCAGGCCCTTGCCTTAGGCAGAGATACTATTGGCAGGTCTGGAATTTGTACATATAGAAATTGGAAAATTCAACGAGGCATTTGCTAGAAACCTCGATTCTCCTTGATTCTCTCTGGTGGTGAGTGTGTAAACGATGGTCGCCACACCCTAACCATTTGAAAAGTCACCTGGAGGAGTCTAAAGAGACATTGTCTCATTATCGTTACTATAAATACTTCTACCTTTCTTACTTTAATACCAGTTTCACTGATTCCGACCCAGATTCTAGCAAAATCGTAATTTTAACGAGCAAATATTTATTCGTCGATTCAGTTTTCTGACGATTACTCTTCTTCCCTCTTCTTTGAGGCCCTGGCAGACCTTTTTTGGTGCGTTAAAGATTGCCATTAAACCTATCTCGATCCAAAGCATTTTCTCTAGGCTTTCGACGAAAAACTGTGTCTAGACGTTGAAATAAAAATTGCGTCTAGACTTTTAATTAAAAACGTGCGTACCAACAACGCTCTTGTGATATACGTATAATTAGTTTTTCTTCTTATTCCATTTCTTTGTTTACTATGACTGGTCATTTGCTCGGTTACGGTATATGCGATGTCAAAGATCTAATGACTCGTGCGAATCTTCTTTTCCTCTTCTCTTCTTTTCGGTTCCCCGTTCGTGATTTATAGATCTCCATCTGTGATCCGTGACGAATTAATAGACAGACGAATAAATAGATTAACGGATTGATCGATGAACGGATTTACAGACTGATTATCGTTGATTTGTTGTTAGCGATGGTGATTATATCGGAAGATCGAGCGAGAGTCTAGGTCACTCCAGATCTAGGATTGTTCAGGCTGATCGCCTCCAGCTGTTTGATCCTTTGACTCTGGCTTAAACTCTCTGTCCAGGTTTTGTTCCTTTTCTTCGATGCCGAGTGATCGAGGATGCAATTACACGGTTTAAGGAGAGATCTCGCGTTAAACCGAACGATTCTGGAGCTCGGGAAAGGTGCTCCAGTTTCGATGATGCGGAGGAGCCATGCCTTGTTTGCGAGATAAGTAATCGACTGTGGGTAAAGGTCGGAAATGACTTAATTTATCGATAGTTAAATCGTGTTTAACAGTATCCATTAACGACTCGAATAGTGCAGGTATAATGATCGTTGGTCAATCGTGTTCGAAATGGAACTTTCGAAAGCCAATTTCTTCGATGTTTATCTGACCCGTTAATAAAAATGCGTTGAATTTCTGAAATTAGTCGGTTAATGGAGTTATTAAAGCGTGTTCCAGTAGTGGTTTCAGAGATATTTGAGTTTAATTCGTACTCTTAGTAATCAGACGGTCGTTAATTGTCCATGAACATTCGTAAAAGGATCACGGTGAACCGAGTCGTTGACTTTTCGATTCTGGAGCCTCTTCGTATTTCAGTCACAATCCTGGAGAAATGCAGCGAGTCTAGTATTCGCACATAATGCCTGTACTCACAATTGCCATTACGTCAGAGAATCGTGGAATTACAGAAAAATTGTGTAACAGACGAGCTGTGCACTACCTTCTATCATGTTTGCTCTAATTTGTATGCACGTGTATCTTCATCGAGGTCCATTCGTTATATACTCGTTATATACTCGTTATACACCCGTTATATACTTCGACTTATGCCAGCGCATTTCTGCAAATCCGTTGCCTCGTTTAATAATTTGTATAAATTTGTCTTTTGATCGTCGAGGAGTGCTTGACGGAAAATAATTCACGATTCACGAATTATAGTGATTGCACAGCTTTTCATTCCGACGGGAGAAACTTCGACCACTAATCGTTATAAATATGTTTCTTTATAGTAAAAGTAAAGATGCGTGGAGATGTGTATGGCTTTCGAGTGACGTGATAGCACAGAAAGTTAAATGGCGAAGAAATGAACTCGAAATGTGCGCTAATCTTTTATTAAAAATTCGAAACTCTTCAAATACGGAAATTTTTATTTTCACAAAAGTCGAAAAATTCGTAACTCTGCGAACGTTAAAAAATGGCAAGTCTTTCGGGCACTAGAGCTTTGCAAAAATTAAAAAGCTTCGCAAAAATTAAAGCTCCGCGAAAATTAAAAAGCTTCGTAAAAATTAAAAAATTGCAAGTCTTTCGGGTACTAGAGCTTTGCAAAAATTAAAAAGCTTCGCAAAAATTAAAGCTCCGCGAAAATTAAAAAATTTCGAACGTTCGAAAAATGAAAGAAAATGGTACGTTTCCAAAAAAATTAGGAAATTTTAAACTTTCGAAAGATTAAAGGATTCTTAATTGCCGAGAAACGAAGAAATCTTTAGTTTCAATCTTCTCGGACGGAAGAAAAAGATACGAGAAAAAGAAATAGCTGCTGAGAGGCCATTTTGCAAACGCATGCCTCTGATAAGAAACACAAAGGCCGACACGCATTGGCCGTCTGGCAAACACAATGAAGTGCGAACTTTCACACGTCTAAAAACGCGTTGCAAGTGGAACGAGACTGGCGCGGTGATTTTGCATTTTCTGAAAGTATATATTACTAGGTCACTGGGTCCCGATCATGAAGATGTTTCAACGTAACTAGTCGCGGCCTTTCACGGCCGGCGTTTCCAACGATAAGTCTCCTACCGATAGTTCTGCATGTACCAATTCGCTATCCCGCTGTTGGATCTCCGCAAATGACATGCAACCGTCACGCTCGAATGTCTCACTTCCCGGTGTAAAGGCTTTATCTGTCACGTAATTGCGGTTCATTAAAGTGATTTAACGAAGTTTCGAATGATCCAAGGAGATCGACCGATAAAACGACGAGTTTGCGATTATACGAAATGATCCATCAGTTGATTTATTATGATTTACGATGACCATGATTAATCCTTCACTTAGGAAAGGATCGAGATGCTTAGAGATACAATTATCGATTAATTACCACCAAATTCGATCTAAAGAAAATCCCCTGAGTTAGGAAACTTCGAAAAATTATTGAAATCTTGGGATTTTTTTATCATCGATCATCGAATACTTTTCTCAGTTATCGAACGATTATCAGGGTCTCGGGATTTTTCAGTCATCGAAAAATCATCGAAATTATAAATTCTATTGAAAGTTACAATTTTCTGGGGTCGTATTAGCTAAATATAAGACAGGTTTGAGGACCTAAGAATACCGTTTAATATCAGAGAATTTCTCTTGGGGTATGGAAGAACGATTTGTGTAAAAGTTTGCAGAATTCGATAATTTTATCTGTATTTCTTGCTAATAAGTTTTCCTTTCACCGAGTTCGCTGTCAATTACAGTTGACGCGTAAATTGTTACAAGAGTCGAACATTTGTTTTAGATTATTCAGGATGGCGCCGAACCTGTTTGGTAACTCGGCGACGGTGTATCTGGAGGCCTCGCAGCAGAACGTTCATAAAGAGAAATCGACGACAGAGAGCGAAAATAATCAGAAATTGCTAGACCAGCAATCGTCGTCGCCTGAAATGAAATATGAATGGCAAATCGTTTGGAGAAACGTGATCGCGTTCTTGTATCTTCATATTGGATCTCTATATGCAATATACCTGATCTTCAATGGAACAAAATTGTATACAACGTTATGGGGTGAGTGGAAAATATTTTACGTCTTGTTCGATAGCTTTGTACTATGAAATATGCTATTTCATAAAGCTATTTTACAGTACGAATACTCATAGACGATAATTCTTCCGCAAATTATGAGTATTATTAATACTGCAAGAATTTCTTGATAGCTAATAGGAGTTTAACTCGCGAGAGATTTAAAAAGAAACTATTTGCCTATAATTAACTCGACTTCGTTAAAATTTATAGCTAAAGTAGCTCTAGCTAGTTGCTAAATTTAGTAGCCACGAATATACGTAACGGAACTATTAATTAACTCAAATATGGCGCCTGAGTATGGAGACTCCTAGCTACACTAGCGCCGCCACAGCGGAACTAACGGCTCTCCAGAGCTATGGAGAGTTAACGAGACAGGGACTTAAATTTCTGCTCCATCTAACGCTCTAATTTCATCAAAGACCTATGAATAGTACGAAAAATAACGTGATTGCACAATCCTGTGGTCGTCTCTCCCGTTTAGACGGTATCCTTCTCTCTCTTTCTCTTATCCGTTATTTCTCTGCGATGAGATTGCAGTTATTAACGACAGTGGTGCGTAACTAGAACGAATATAAAGAAAAAGATGTAAAATAGAAATCGCAGAAGGCCCGCGAATCCGTTGTCGCGATTTCCAAAGAACAGTCCAGTCCAGTACGCGTTGCGATTAGCATTCCGTTTTTGAGCATGTAAGAGCGATGCATCGTGGGGAATATCCCCGAGAAGATGTTCCAAGAAGATATACGACTTTCTTGTTCATAGAAATCGACCGGATGAAAGCGTACATACGCGGCGAGTCGTGAAACCGCGCAAATTTGTTTCGATCAATGTACATTCTCACCTCTAACCCTTTCACTCTAGCTGCCTGGTAAACGTCCGTAGTGGATGAAGAATTTCACGCGAGGCTGATACCGGTATCAAGCGATTTTCCATGCTTCCGTGATATCGATATCCATGAATATTGATATAAACAAGTTAGAACTGAAGATTCGATTCAGCTATTTTAGATCGAGAAGGTTCAACGGTTTAGGCATGTCCGGATTCAGTGAAGCTTAAAGCAAGAGAGATTTGATGAATATTGAAACTATCTTGAGAAATCGGTCATTTTGACTATCGCGGTAGTGTTAAAGTAGAATAGGACAAGACATTAAGATGGACTTAATGTCAGAATGCATTAACGTCGAATTTCTACGTCTCTCTGTGACTAAAGTAGGGCTAGGAAGATGGATTATCAGTGATTTTAATACGCGAAAAATTCCTGGAATGCATTCTAATCGATATTATGGTAGGTATGATACATATGTTAGTCGCGGTGTTTCCAAGCTTTTTATTTTAGGATCTCGGTGAAATTAGCAATCGTAGATGCGTGGAAGTCGTAGGCAAAGCAGGCTACCAGCGAATATGTGTAAGAAAATAGAATGCGATAAGACTAAATAAGGGAATGGGGTTGGGAAAGATAAAATGGGCTACGAGCGGAAGCAAAGTATAATAAAGTAGAAGTGAAACAGGTTAAGAGGAAGAGGCTGATCCGGGATGAGCTATAGAGTCGTTAATCAACGTGACGATGTAGAATGAGGCACAATGAGGTGCTCGAGCTAAGAACCAAGAAACTGGAACGAAGGCGAATGGGAGAGAGTAGTATAGGATGAAGGTAACCAAGCAAAGCCTCGTTAAACGAAATCAAAATGAAACAAGGTGAAATAGAATTCATAGAGTACGAAGTAGAACGTGTCAGCGAGTAAAATAGATCTTGGTAGAACGAGACCAAACGTTACCATGACTGATGCATACACGATGCATCCATGATAATTCTGCCAATAATTCTAATCATTCTAAGATACCAATTCTAATAGACTCAAATTCAACGCGTAAAATAGAATATGTGAGAATAAAATAGGATAAATCGTCTATGATATTTTCAGGAGCCTTCTTGGCAGCTGCCGCAGCGCTAGGCATCACGGCTGGTGCTCACAGACTCTGGGCTCATAGAACTTACAAAGCCAAGTGGCCCATGCGACTACTACTGATGATTCTCCAGACCGTTGCTTTCCAAGTAAGTTCCTATTTTCTTCGCTACAAATTGTTCGAAAATAATCGAAATCGGGTTAATCAAAATTGCTGCTAATCGAACGCCGGATAATCGGAACCGAGGATAATTGTACATTTAACGCTAGACCTACCGCGACTAGCTGAATAATCGCTGGATGGAAAAGTGGGAGCAGAATTTCAAAGAAAATTGAACGAAAGGAGGTACTGAAAAGTCGATGACATATTATCGTATATTAAGAAAAATATAAGCAGAATTTTAAATCGAAAATCGAAAAATTGGAAACGATCGTTTAGGCTGTGCTAGGTTTAGCTTTAATACGTTAAGTGCCACGCAGGTCCTCGGGGACCGGCGCTAGACTTTCCGTTCGGGCCCGGCCCAGACTAGGGTCAAAAGGTGCTAACTTTGATGTAGAATTCTTCGCCATCTTTGGACCTAACGTTTGGTAATTCCTGTTATAACGATTGATCCAGTATCTTCGAATTTTATGAACGCTTCGTCTACCTGACGGCCGAGTCTGGGCCTTAACTTAACGCGTTAAACGAGCTGCCACGTTATCAGGCCCGGTTTTCTTAGGCCAGATCTCGGTTATCCGGTGGGTTCCGATTGATCCGGCCCGTGTCGCGTAATCGAGGTTTCATTATATAGATCCCAATGCTGTTATCGCTTCGCAGAATCACATTTACGAGTGGGTGAGGGACCACAGAGTTCATCACAAGTACACGGACACCGACGCTGATCCCCACAACGCGAAGAGAGGATTCTTCTTCTCGCACGTAGGCTGGCTCTTGGTGCGAAAGCACCCGGAAGTGATAAAGAAAGGCTCCGCTATTGACATGAGCGATCTGGAACGGGATCCTATCGTCTATTGGCAGAAAAAGTAACGTATAAACGTACAATCCCGACTTTCACGAACATTTACGAGCCAACTCGTTACACTCGGCCGTATCATAATTGCACCGAGCATGACCGAAAGATGCAGCGCGCTCGGGAATAATTTCGATTTACTCACTGGAACCGTAAAATCTACTGAGCAAAATCGATTAGCCTGGTACTTCTCTTCCACGTTAATAGCATCCATGTCGATTCCGTTACACGTTAGGAGAAAAAGATAGCGGAGTAACAGTTATTTGTTCTGCCGCGAGAGTCCTGGATGTCGCGTAACAAGCCATTTGCTATTGAAAGTTGCTCCTGATGCGTGTCACTAACCCGAGTGATAGCTGTTTATGACGTTCCACGTGCCTGAAACCTTTCTCTTTGCCGATTTTCAGGCTGTACATCTTGCTGATACCGCTCTTGTGCTTCATACTGCCTGTGTGGGTGCCTTGCTACTTCTGGAACGAGACCTTATTGAATTCTTGGTACTCCTCGCTGCTCAGATACACCGCGTCCTTGAACGTAACGTGGCTGGTCAATTCTGCTGCTCATATGTGGGGCATGAAGCCTTACGACAAGTAAGCAGTCACGTTTGCTCGCTTTTCTTGACTTCTTCAACAGAACCACGAGATTGGCAACGAGATTGCGATACGAGGTCGCGATAGCTAGTTTAACACTAGATTTACAGGACCCGTCAATTTGACGGAAGGGTTGCTACTATTATACGATGGTAACAGATTTAGCTCACTTATATTAAGACTGATAATATAATATATAATTGTTTTTACATTAAACTAATCGTTAAAGAAAAAAGCACGTGGTTTCCTTTACCTGTCAATTTGACAGGTGTTTTTAGAAATAGGTATACAGATAGCGCCAGTAAACCTAGTGTTAAAGACAATTGGACTTTCCCAATTGCGTTCAAAAGTTGCACTCAGTTATTTACGTAGAATGTAGTATATTTCTTTTGAAAAAGGTAGAACGGATTGACGATGATGGACAGAGAGTCGACGTAGCTCTCGTGAAAAATGTTGATAAGAAAAATGTACGACGCGGAGGATACGATACTACGCCATTTTTCTCGGTTCAATGTATGTTAAAGCGAGACATTTATTTTCCAGAGCCATTGGCCCCACGGAAAATAAGACCGTGGCCGTTTTGGCTTTCGGCGAGGGATGGCACAATTATCACCACGTGTTCCCATGGGACTACAAGGCTGCTGAATTCGGCAACTACGGAATGAACTTTACTACCGCGTTCATCGATTTCTGCACTTGGATAGGATTGGCGTACGACTTGAAAAGCGTTCCCGCAGATGCGATTCAAAGACGAGCAACCAGAACTGGCGATGGATCGAGGTACCAATGTCATCATTATCGATACTTTGAAATTCTTGCCACTTCACGGTTGCACGATCTATCTGTGATACTCGTTCAATCGCGTCTCTCGGCCCGTCGTTTAAAATCTGAGAAATCGACGTGAAGTTATAAAGTCGCAAAATTCAATGAGGCAAATTTAGAATCTAAAGAGATCTAAAATTAAATTGAAATTAGAGGATCTAAAATTAATTTCGTCGATCTGCAGGTACCATAATGAAAAGGACACTCACGAGCACCCTGTCGAGGACATGAAATGGGGCTGGGGCGACAAAGACATGAAGCCAGAAGAGATCAAAGAAGTGAACGTCATCAACAAGAAGCTTCGCTTACAGTAAATACCACAAATGTTAGCTCGGATCCGCGTGTATGGAAGCTAATTCATAGGCGATCAATCGTTTACGACGTCAATTAATATTCATTGTACATGCTATCATGGGTCTGTCGTTTCCGTTGCTCCGTAAAGGGTCGGCTGTTTGACTGGAATCGTTTCATCTGTCAGGGACTCGTCAAGCTTCTCAAGATGGGACACAAAACGATTCGACACTTTCGTCTATTCTAACTCGCGTCTTTTCATCGGGATCGAACTTTGGTCTGGCGATGGTGCAAAATAGAAAAGAAGAAAACGGAAGACGAGAGAATAGCAGGACGAATTTGGGGATTTTCCACGCAGCAGTCGACTCTTTGCACGCGGAATCGAATTAAATTCATGGTCTTTCGATGCAATCGATGAAGGCGTCGCGAGTCTATGGTTTCTCGTATTCTGCAGCGTCTCCGGACGGAATCGGGTACCTTGCACAGCTGATCGGGTGACTTCGCGATGTCATTTCGAGCGACCAAATTTCACGTAACCAAAGCAATCGAGTGAACTGTATGTATATCGATTGATCGACTGGCATTTAGATACACGGAAGAGGCACTTCGCGCGTTCAGTTGCGAATCTTGACGATTGTTAGCCTAGAGTCGAGTGAGAACTTCCCTCGTGTTCGTCGAACAGTAGGCAGAGCCCAATCCTACGATCTATGAATTTTGCAAAAGTTTGGAAATTATTACTGCTGCAAATGGTAGCTAGTGGTTCGTGTCTTGGATACAGTACAGGCAGATGCAAAGTATTAATTAAATTAATACGTATTAATACGTTACTCATCGAATCGTATACCGAATTTAGAAGTGTTCTAGACGAGGTCCATCAGGTCCATCAGGTCTACAAGCCATATCAACTATTTTCACTTTTCGCAAAGTTACTCCGACCTAAATAACTTTGAACGTAGAAGAAAAGAGTAATTCAATCATGATGTTGACAAGAGAAAGAGAACACTGCCAATTATTCCCATAATTAAACATTCTTCGTATATCTGGGTACATCTAATAGTCTAAAGAAACAAATGTATAGAATTGACAATTTCCAATTGCTAATTGTTTTTATTCCTTTAGACTACTAGATGTACCTAGATATACGAAGAATGTCTAATTATGAGAGTTAATCATTTCCAAAGGACCACTTCCATCGATGTTTCTAGGAATGTAATCACGCACACGATCTGTAATATCTGTATAATCTATGCAGTTCCAAAGCACAATTTTCACCGAGTATCCAAGGATGCTCTGTTTTTAGGAGTCTCGAATCTTGCCAAATGTTTCAACACATGGTGCACTAGTATGACGAGCTGCATTTGAAAAATTCAGACGAACACGAGAGGAAGAGATCGAGAGAGAACAGAAGGACTCGGGCTCGACGTTCGTTCTCTCGTCTTCCTGCGAAATGTCTCTGAAGAAATCGGGCCCGAGTCGCTAGCTAATGTTCCATAAGACGAGTGTCAATTAAACGAGACGTAGAATTAGATCGTGGAAATGGATCGATTCACGAAAGTCGTGCACAAAACAGCGACAAGTACAACAATCCAACATCGACGACTTGCCTTAAGACTCCTGTCTTTTAGAGATGATTAGAGACTGTCCTGTCGCACGAATCCATTATTTAGAATTTTTTAAGCGAGAGTCTGTGACACGAAGGGTAATTCGGAACAAGAGTCGGAGATTTTAGAGATTCTTCTGAACATTTGAAGAAATTTTACACCGACGAGGTTCCTTTGCGATGCACCAACTTTCATGTAATTTTCCTTTATTTTAATTTTCCTCTACTTTAATTTTTCTTTATTTTCATTTTCTACGCCAGAAATGCGAGATTGAATATTGGCTGAAAGTCTGTTAATTGTCTATGAGATCATTGCCCGGGGATTCATCCTTCGAATTTTTATTGTACACATATCTCTCTTCTAACGATTCCTACGAATTTCTAAATTTTCTTAATTCTTTTCCGGAATTACCCAAAAGTCTTTCCACATTGGCAAATCGATTTTGTACACATTTCTCGAACTTTGATCGTCGATCGAACCGAAGAAGGACGAACGCGAGCGCGTCTTTCCTCTGTTCGACGAGTACTATTAACCCTTATTCGTCGCGAGTCACTTCTCACGTGACGATGGTACTTGGTCGCTGCGGTCGTGTGTCACGTGGGAGGTGACAAGACGGAAATTTTTCGCATATTTACCGAAACCAGCAAACCATCTTGTAAGAATCACGTAATAAAAGGCTAGCAAGCGTAAATTTATCGGCGAGAAAACGAAAATTTGTCCGACAGTCGTAGAGAATTGCGTGCAGGTAAAAAATGCTCGCGCAAAAGTTAATTTCCTCCAGACCCAGTCTCGATTGCGAATCTAATTTACCGCGTTCGACAGGTATCGAATCGTTCTGTGCTCGGGTATGGGTTCCTACAGCGGGAGTTACCTGTATAACGATCGCAGAAATAGCGTCGATATTTCTAAAGCATTATTGTTTAACGACGAACTTCACGAGCGGCCCTGAACGTCTGTACACGTTCCTTTGACGAAATTGTCGCAGCAAGAGCGACGAGAAGGTGTACATATTTAATCGTGTAAAGAAGGGAATAGCTTGCTCGAGGTTTTTAAACATTGCAAAGACCCGTAAGATAATATATATGTATCCGTTGAAAATTGCTTCTTACGCAAGATGCTTGTATTTGTAGTTACATCGTAGAGAATTTTATTTATGCTCGACTAATTGTATTGTACACTAGGTATTAAAAATAGAAAGACACGCGAATCTTTCCCCCGTTGAATAATATTTAAATACTTAGTGTATACGGCGAATAGAAGTCTAAGTTAGAGGTTTTGTAAAAAATTTGGTAACAAAGTAGTGTAAATATCTAAGCCCCACCCCCTTTTATTTCGCTAATTTCCATACGGGATAAGTTATCGTGTAATGTTCGCGTGAAAAATTTAATAATAATTTCTAGATAGCTGTAAGCACGATCGCGTGATTTTCTTCGTTGAAAGCGAGACGCAGAGAGATGGAGGAAAAGAAGAAACACCGTATTACTCGCATTATCTCTATCGTTTAATTATTCCGCGTCTAAGAAGCACTTCTCAACGGGCGGTTAGGGGAAATGGATGAAACGGAAGCTGACTAGAAGCTCGAAGATCTCACAGAAGAATATCTATGCAGCCAAGATGCGGATCAATATATTAACGCAAGAAACGACTAAAAAGGCTAAAAAAAAAGGGTTAAAAAATTACAAATAGAAAGTAGGGGATATAAACATGTGGTTAATTACGAACGAAAGAGAAACACTGTCATTTTCGTTGCGTATGTTTTATTATGGACAATATTGACAATTTTCGGTGTATTTATAAATAAATTATTGTTATCCATAGAAACGTGCGTTTTCTGTCACCTCTGCGATATTTCGTAACGTTAGCTCCAATATGCAATTCCACGAATCCAACTTAATCTATGGTATGACACAATACATACGACATTTTAGTCGTTCTATTTGTTCACAGAACTTCGTTTCGCACCCTTCCTCTCGTGTACCAGTTTCCACGCAGGTGTGTACACTTTAAGGTAATTTTCGTGAAATTTACACTTCGCGAGTTCGTTACTCTGACGAATGGGAAAAAGGGGAGAAGAATAAATAGCCAGTGTAAAGAGTGTGCGCGAAAATAATATGTATAAACCTGTTTAAATGAAATGTTTAACGACAAATGACTTGCAAACGAGAATCAGTAACACTTGAGTACTAGTATCGAACAGAATTTTTAATTTAACAAAAAACCTGGTGGAATAATCTGTGAATGGAAGAACGAAATAAAAAGAAGCTAAAGAAAAATAGAAGAAAAGGAGACATTGAAAAATGAGGTATAAATAAGGAATAATTCTGTTGATAAATAAAATTCTGTTAAAGAACTTGTAGAATTATAATTATATCAGAAAAAGAACAAAAGTATGTGAAATTTGGTGACCAAAGTAATAAAGCTAAAATTTTTAATCATACGTTTAGAAATGGCTATTTACACTGCGGTAGGTTTGCAAAGTTAAGTTGGTTTTAGTGTTAACGAACGGTGGAGTGTGTAACAAAATCTATTTGAACAATGAAGGCAACTCGCTGGTTAGTTAATTGAATTTGCAATTCGACCTAATTAGCTGGGTGTCTACGTAAATTTGAATTAAGAGCAGGACCTGGTCGTGTCAACGAGTCACTCGTTTTTCGCAGTCTTTATTCGATGGCTGGACGAAGAAGATACACGAACTTGATGACCGTTTCGAGTTCTATTTGAGGACGTAAAAGTTGTTGAAGAGTTCCCGTCAATCATCCTGGCGAAAATCAGAGGTAATTGGGAAGCTTAATTACTTGATTGTCAATTAATCTCTAATTGTTCCTTAATTACTTTGGCTGGGAGAAGAATAACGAATGAAAGAGCACATTCTGTGCTCAATTTATATAACTTGAATTATTATTATTACATAATTATTATACAAGTCAAATCAAACATGATACGAATATTGGTGGAATATTCATAGGACAAAAATTATTTAAAAATGATTGAAAAATGATTGGCAATTTATCTAAATAATTTCTTCCTCGTTTTACTTAAGAAATGAATACTTACGGATAAATAGAGACTGTCTGGAAAATTGGCAGGAAGAATATTTAATAAAAAATGATAGATGGAGCCAAATAAAAGTGTCAAGGAACAAGAAGCATAGAATACGCATAAATCGCGACGAGTTTGGAATTCCAAGCAGTACCCTTGACGCAACGATTTAGAAATTGCGATTTGGAAAGCAAGGACACGGATCATGCAGCAATTCCACGCAGTCAACTTCACGCGAAACTCGATCATTCGATCGGTCTACGTCGATCTCTGACAGCTTCATCGCATACTACCACTGCTCTTTTTATTTACCAGTAATCGCATCGACTCGTGGAAACGTCATCTCGAGATTAACAGGCGTTACGTGCATCGATGGATTACGCTTTCACTGGTATCACGGGTATTACAGAACACCAGACGATGTTCAATTAAACCATTCTGGATAAAAGTGTCTGTGAAAACTAGCTTATCTCGCGTCCGATGATAAGTGCTGGTGAGAAGAGGCAGTTTCCCAATCTCCGAGATTAAACAAAGCCGTATATAAGGTGCCGCGTATAGATCGACCAATGTCCAATCGATATCGACGTTTCACGATAAATTTCTTTTTAGCAGCGGGTCGTTTAACCTAGCCGTCTCTGATCGATCATTATTCAATTTAACGAGTTAACTTGGGCCAATTCTCCCTTGTTGGGAAGAGGAATAGAGACAGTGAAAACTAATTCAATAACTGTGGTGAACTCATTCAATGTTACCAGTTCTGTTTGCGTCCGTGTTGTGTCAGCATTAGATCGTGAGTATACACGTTTTCTCTAACAATCATGTCGTAATCCGACACGCTTTTCCAACCTTGGCTGATCATATTTACACGAGACTTCGTCGTCCAGTGCATGACGCTATCTCGATAAACGCGAACACTCCAACGACGATGAATTTAAACCAGAAAACGACGGAGAAAGTTGTTGAAAAATGGAAAAACAAATTCTTCGATTTACTCGATTTAAAACAGTCAACGGAAGAGATATTTCTGATAATTTTTAAGCTATTTACGAAAAATGTCAACGATTCGATCAAATTCGTGGAAGATTTGTTGCTAAGAAGAATTTTAAACTTCTTTTCTCTTCGGAAATTTCGTTCTTCTGTGATTCGATTTCAAGTTTCCCGCGAAATTGTTCCCGTCCATTCGTCGATAAAGAAGGAATTTTAGTGACCAACCGTGGCACAGGAAATTCTTATGTAACTCATTCCTCGCTATCTTGGGAAATTAATAAAAATGTGTACGTGATCTTCCAGGTTGAATTTAAGTTTGATTACCTCGTGTTGTCTACTGCGCATGCGTTTCCAATGGCGGCAAAGCTGACGAAACGTGGTCCTGGGGGCGCTGCGAACCACGCAGTAGCGTTTTCCGCGACGAAAACACAGCTGCAACGCGGAAGCGCTCTTCTCTGTTTCACCTGCAGTGTTTGCTTTATTTTAACCCTAATCTGCACATGCTTGGCCACTCTATTGGTTCTCCTCGATCAGAAAGTCGAAGCTGCCAATTATCAATATCGTAAGTTACCTTTATTCGTATTATCAATACCTAAGAAGTTCTCGATTACCTGTTCATTGTCCATTGACTGATTTCGATAATTTTCAATTATGTTATAAAACACGCTTTCAGTGTCCGAGACATTAGCAAAATTCCTTTCGTTCTCGTAGCATACGAATTAACGCTTAAATCTCGGTTAACACGCGAAAAAGAACCGGATAAATTTCCACCGGTGACAGCGGTCCTCGTGATAGCGAGTGGCGGGAAATTTGAAATTCGCTATGCGACATCGACACGTTTATCACTGCGACTTAACCAAATTTCTTTAAATCTTCTTTCCAAATTTCTAAATTTTCTAAATTTAACTACATTTCTTTAAAACTTCTCTAAAAATTTTCCTCTTATTTCTTTTTTTTTATCGATCGTGTATTATTCATATTTTTATCACAGTTTTCAAGCCTGTCATACATTATTAATTACCGATATATCATATTTGAAATCTTCCAGTGCGAGAATATTTTTGCCACTTTCTTGCGTAAATTTCTCCATTATTCAAAGTCGATTCCGCCCCCCCCCCCCATATGTCATTATATAAATTTTTCTAATACACACGTCGCTGTAATATTACGGTATCGCGACGTTCGCTCTTTCTTTTTCAGTACTCGGAATATTCCGTTGCAAATAGCGACGATAAATCAGTAAATCGCACGTGGTGGACGCCCATAGGCGTCCCTCTTCTGGCATCCGCCAAACAGAGCAACAAATTTCTCGCACATGGCGTAGCCTTTGGAATCAACCATCGAATTATATAATCTTATCGTGCCAGCCTTGAGAGACAAATGGCGCTGGGCTTAAAGCGTTTATTTATATTCCGTAATAAAATATTTCCAACGGCTGGCTTTAATCTCAAGTCTGCGTTCCAGCGATCTGACGCCGGTATCGTTTCCCTCGCGTCTTGTTGATACCTTTATCGTCCTGTACCGACGAAAACAACGCGCAAAAGATCGGAGACGATGCAAAATATTTTCGCCATGTGTCTCGTTTAGCCGGTTTGTTCGTTTTCAGTGCTCACCACGATGAACGCGGAAGAGGTTCCTGATCTGTCCTTCCGGTTGCCGAAGGAAGTGAGACCCGTGCACTACGACATATACCTGCACCCGAACCTCGAGAAAGGCACGTTCCAGGGCAAAGTCACGATCCTGATCGACGTGCTCGGCAAAAGGAGCTACATAGCGCTTCATCAGAAGGACCTGAACATCACGTCCACCTCGCTGAAGACGTACGACCGCGAAGAGAACTTCGAGTTCGAGGTGACGGATTTGATACAGATACCCAAGTATGAGATGTTCGTGGTATCGACGAAGAAGGAACTTCACACGGGTCTTTATAACCTGAGCTTCGACTTCAACGGCGCGCTGCAGCCGGATAAAATAGTTGGCTTCTATTCCAGTAAATATAAGGATGCGCAGAATAAAATCAGGCGAGTGTATTTTTCTCGCATTTCGAATTTATCAATTTTTCCAACACGTATCTTCTCGAATATTTCTTCTTTAATTTCTTGAATTATAAAATATTTCAATTCCTCCAGAGCGGAATTATTTTGCGAGAATTGAATAAAGACTTGCAGCTTCTTTTTTACCGATTTAGCAAACGATAGTGATATCGAATGGCTGAATATCGTGATCGAAATTAGAGAATAAGAATTATTTATCAGTGACAGTGAATGTTGCGTTAGACGAAAATTATTTTAATAACTTTGCACTCGAAGATTTTTCTTCCATAAAGATATAACAATTCGAAGCTTCCTTTATATTTTTCTGAGCTCGATCATACCATTTGTGGTGAAATAAAAGAAGAGAATCACGTGTGTTTTATTGCAATAGTTCGCGTGCAGTTGCTTTTGATCTAATTATTGCTTCATATTCGTTATCTAAGCTTCGAGGTATTAAGACAAATGGTAACTGAGGGTGACTGCCCGAGTGCAAAGGGTTGATACGTTACTGGTATAGTTATCGCAATTTGTATTTACAGATACATTGCTACCTCGAAGTTTGAACCGACTTATGCTCGAAGAGCTTTTCCATGTTTCGACGAGCCAGCCTTCAAAGCGAAATTCACAGTGAAATTGGTCCACCCCACTGGAGATTACTATAGTGCCTTATCGAACATGAACGCCGAGGTACAAAGACGTAGAATCTTTTATTATTAAAATTATAGCAGTTCGAGGATTTATCAAATATGTCAGTTGATTATTATACATTCCAGTGTTCACAAATGAATCAACCATCGCCGGGTTTGACAACGGTGACTTTTGCGGAAAGCGTGCCAATGTCGACGTACTTAGCCTGTTTCATAGTCAGCGACTTCGCAGCCCTCACCAAAACGGCAAATGGCCTCAATGGCCGCCAGTTTCCGGTCAGTGTGTACACCACTAGGGCCCAACAAGAGAAGGGGGCATTTGCTCTTGACATAGGCGTGAAAATCATCGAATATTACATTAATCTATTCCACATTGACTATCCATTGCCAAAACTAGGTAAGTTACTGTCGTTTCGAATAAAATTAATTTTAGATATAACTAGGAATTCATAAATTTAATCGAATTTTCTAACGAACACTCTTGAAATTACGTTGAAAGTTAAATTGAAAAATTTGCCGTTCGCTATTCAAAATATTCGTTCGAATGAAATGCTCGAATGCAAGCTTTTCTGATTCAATTGCTATTTAATAGGTAAGAGAAGTTTGCAATTAAGCGTTTCATTTAAATAAAAATATCAAATAGCAATCAGAAAATTGAAATTAAGAATTCAAGATGTTTAAATTTGAGATATTATATTTAAATTTAAAATATTTAAATTCTTAATTTCAATTTTGTTGAAATATTTGCGAATTGTGAATAGTCTTATGCTCGAATTTTTAGATATGGCGGCCATACCCGATTTTGTGTCCGGTGCAATGGAGAATTGGGGATTAGTTACATACAGAGAAGCGAAATTATTGTTCGACAATGAAACAAGTTCTACCTCAAATGCCTACGACGTCGTCACTGTAATTAGTCACGAATTTGCACACATGTGGTTTGGAAACCTAGGTGTGTATAATTATACACAATCATGGTCAAAATTGTCTTTCTTCTTTTTAATTAAAAACTAAACTAATTGAACTAATTAAAAATTTAATTAATTTTTCGTTTTATTCTTCTTTCAGTCACTATATCCTGGTGGAACGACTTATGGCTGAACGAAGGATTCGCTTCTTTCATGACATATAAAAGCGCTGATGGAATTCTGCCTGATTGGGGCCTGGTTAGCTATTTAATTTTTATTAATCATGTCCTACTTTGCACGAAATCCAAAATTTCGCGATCAATTTCCATTTTTAAACACATTCTACCAACCTTTCGATGCTTATTCGCGTCAAAGTATTTGAAAAATAATTAATACCTTATTAAATATCACTCGAATTCGACGATATCGATGAGTATGTACATTTCTTCTTCAGATGGACCTCTTCCTAGTCGAACAGATGTTTTCTGTCTTTGTAACAGACGCAAAACTAAGTTCTCACCCTATCGTGCAAACTGTTAGCAACCCTGACGAGATAACTGCGATATTCGACGAAATATCGTATAAAAAGGTAACCTCCTCGATATTTCTATTCTTTCAAAAAATAACAAATTTATATGTCGTATATTTTCTATATTTTTATTCCATTCCCAAGGGATCATCCGTTATCCGAATGATGGAGAATTTCATAAAGCCAGGAGTCTTCTACGGTGCCATTAACTCTTATTTGCACAAATTTAAGTATCACAACGCAGAAACAGCTGATCTATTCAAGATTTTGCAAGAATCATCGCCAGAAAACCTAAACGTGACGGCCATAATGGACACGTGGACCAGACAGAAAGGATTTCCAGTGGTGAATGTGAGAAAGTCTGGTAACAAGTATATATTGACACAGAAGAGGTTCTTGGCTGATCCTGACGCTCAATTTGATCCTTCAGAGTCCGAATACGGGTAATATAATAAATTTCAAATAAATTCTCGCTATTTTTCTGATTTCGATCAAATTCAGGTGATATTTAATCGGTATGCATTTCACTGAAGGTACAAGTGGACTATTCCTGTCACTTACATCACGAATAAAATGTCCGAGCCTACTCTCCTGTGGTTCGACAAGGATGCCAATGACTGTAAGTACCTTTAACATTTTTCGTGATTTCAAAATCCTTATTAACCCTTTGCACTCGACGATTTTTTGGCCAAAGAAGAGTAGGATTTCAAAGATTTTCTGCTATAAAGTTAACGATATTTTTTTGAACAGTAAATAAGAAGTCATCTAATAATTAAGACGTAGAATTATTTGATTTCGATACCTCGCACACCGTTACATTATCTAAAATTTGACAAATTAATGAATATCCAGCTTCGAAATTTTATAAAATGGCGACTGAAGAGCGCCTCTCGAGTGCAAAGGGTTAAATTTCGAAATAGATAATTGTAATAGCAAATTCAACCATTGATATCTCTCTACTATTAAATTAATTAGATATCTGAATTTTCCAGTGGTGATCGAATTCAAGGAACCAGTAGACTGGGTCAAATTTAATGCTAACGGGGTTGGATATTATCGTGTAAATTACGAGTCGCCAGAGTGGAATATTCTCTGCAACTTGCTTCAATGTCAACACAAGGTAAATACTCACATATGTGTTTGTATTTTTATTTATTTTTAATTTTATTTTTTGAACCGGCTAACCTTATCGTTGAAATTTCTATGGATTCGCTAGACCTTGTCAGTATCTGACAGAGTGCAACTTCTCGAAGATGTATTCAGTCTGGCCAGTGCCCGGATGACCGATTATAACATAGCAATGAACATGACTGCCTATCTTCCTCAAGAAAAGCACGCTGTTCCATGGAGCGTGGCCTCCTCGAAACTAATGACTCTCGATACTTTGCTGTCATCCACTACCTCCTCGTCGCAGTTCAAGGTAAAAGTGGAATTAAAATCCAAATTCGCATTTGCAAAATCTCGTATTTACATTTCTAACTCGCTCGGATTGCAATAATTCGAAGTATTAATTTTCGAATCAATTATTATTTCCTAGAGATACGTGAGAGACTTGGTTGACAGCGTGTACCACGAAGTCGAATGGGACATAAACAGCAATGACGATCGTATTCATCGGTAAGTAAAAATTCATTACGTATTAACGCCTTTAATTCGATCGCGATTTCCATTTTCTTTTCAATTTTACTCTGACTCCTGTAGAAAACTGCGAACGGCAATCTTGCGATTGGCCTGCGCCGTGGAGCACGAAGAATGCCTACAAAAGGCCGGGGAATTGTTCAAAAACTGGATTCAGGATTTCAGAGACAATCGTCCGCATCCTGACATTCGTGATCTCGTTTACTATTACGGTAAATTCATTAATTTATTCGCATGTTGTGAAACTCACTTCCTGTCTTGATACTCCATACCTAACAGGGAGAGAAGCCCTTATATATTTTCTTGAACTAGATGACTAAATCTACAAACTTACAAAGTTTTGTAGGAATAGTAGTATCTAGGTCTTCTGTAGACACACCACTCTCAATGTTCTATCTCCAAGGGAGAAGTTTGTTAAGTGCGGTAGTGGTCTTCTTTGTGGTTCCTATGGTGGTGGTTATTCCTGTGGTGGACTCATCAATAAGGCTTGCTTCTAACCGGCTCTGCTTTATACCAGGAATATTTAGGTATCACAGGAACTTCTATTTAACCGTTTGAGTGCCAAGCAGCGCTTGAGGCATTCGGAAGAACACGGTCGAAAAACCCAGAACAGCGTGATAACGCTTACTTTAATCGAGTGCGAAGAAGCCCAAACGGTGCGATAGTGCTTGTTTAATTTTATATCGAAAAATCCCAGTCGTCGCAATAGCGCTTGTTGGTACTATGTGACGTACGTGCATCAGCAAAGATGAGCGCGATCGCGCTGCTTGGGACTGAAATGGTTAAGACAGGTCGAGCCTTTACCGAGGACTTGCGAGAAAGTCCTCGAACCTCCTTCAAGTAGGAATCCATCTAGAACTCTAGCGAGAACTTGGTCGCTACAGTTCCAACTAGATCTATGACCCGAAGGATGTGCACTCTCCTTGTGAGCTGTATAAAAGATATTTCCCACGATAAATACGAAATAAATAAATACTCCATTGTTCCAGGAATGCACCACGTCGGTGATGAAACATCATGGAACGCTATGTTCAAGAAATTCATAGCTGAGACTGACTCGTCAGAAAAATTGAAGCTGATGCGTGGACTTGCTGGATCACGATCGAGTTGGATATTGACCAAGTATGTCAATTCATTTGCATAAAATACTTGTAATTACTTTAGAAGGTTCCTTTCATAATTTACTCGTTTCATCGATTACAGATTCATCGTGACAGCCACGAAAGAGGACTACGTCCGCGCCCAGGACTTCTTCGGCTGTTTGACCGCCATCTCTGACAACCCCATAGGAACACCGATAGTCTGGGACTGGGTGCGCTCGAACTGGGAGTTTCTGGTGAACAGGTACACCCTGAATGACCGTTACCTCGGTGCGCTGATCCCATCCATCACGAGGACCTTCGCCACAGAGACAAAACTGAACGAAATGAAGGTTTTCTTCGAGAAGTATCCCGACGCTGGTGCCGGTGCCATGAATCGTGCCAAAGCTTTAGAGACCGTATCGGACAATATAAAATGGCTGTCTATTAACCGTGAGAGCCTGGAATCTTGGTTGAATGCTCACGTGCAAAATAAGTGAACAGAATCTGTAAGGGTGTATATCATCGTTGCGATCTATGTCGAAAGCTTACTTCAATTTTGTCCTAATTGACAGAATTTAGGACAGAGAAGCAAATGAAACATCGCGTGTAAAGGAGTACCGTTGTTCAAAAGGAGTACCGTTTATTTCTTATTCTCATTCCTAGTAACTTAATTACCAAGAGAGAACTGTGAGATTATTATTATTAATGTTATTCTTTAGAAAGATTAAAAACTGAAATTTTACAGGATAGATACAAGCATTCCTTCTTCTGAAAAGAGGAAAAGATCACCGAAGCATTTGTATACACGCGACACAACGAATTTTATATTTATTGTAAGAAACATCACCATTTTCTTAATAAATAAAACATTTTGAAGCAATCGAATTTTCTCGTCATTTCGAGGAACGAACGAAATCGATGTTACACTGTTTCACAGATCAAAGGATAATCAACGGGACGAATTGAGCCATGATAATTGTCTGTCCCTCCTGGATCGGACAATTGGATCGGCTCACGTTTATTGAAAGATCACGATCATCGTTGGCTAGAAAGATCAGCTAAGCTTCAATTCGCCCTGACCATTACGTGTTTCTACCTTTTTATGGTTTTATGCGTCGTGCTTTACCTATGTGTGTCCTCGAGGGTTAACAGGTCTATATTCGTCAATGTCGTCGGTCTAGATCCGAACGGATAAGTATCGAAAGCAGTTACACTAAACGAAATGTTAGCTTCTATAGTCTCGGAATCACTGAAATTCGGATATAATTGATTTATAATTCAGATATAATTCTGGAACGAAATAATCGAGAAATAGAGTAATTTCTGACGACTAAAAATAAAATAAATGAAACAATGGAGTCTATGAAAAATATTTCTTTTTTCCCATATATATGACTTCGCATGAGAAAAGATGAAAGTATCATGGTTCTCGAAAATTTCATTGCTATGGATTATACTTCGTGATTAATTGTAACGTGCAATTTTATCTCACGATCACTATGCCTTTGGGAAATGAAGAAATCAATGGCTCACCCTGTGTATGGAAGGAATACATATTTGTTTGACATAGATTCGGACTACTGATTGGAAGAACCGAAATTTGATCGGGGGACCAGTGACGTGGCGAAAATTGATTAGTAAATAAATAATTCGGACCCCTCGATTCTACGAATGCTTGCAATCGTACGAATGTACACAGTGAGCTATTTATTCTTTCGTATCATCGAGTACCCGGACACCCCAGGAGTCTTATAATCTGTCAATTGATCCGTCATTGACAAAACGAGCCGCACAAATTGATTCGTTGCACAAACAGAGGTCGAAATTAAGTCTCCGCAAATATCTGGGCTCGATTAAGAGCTCAGGTTTAAAAGAAGCAATCGAATAAACAATTGCGCAAAGAGATAAATGTTAATTCGTCGATCTGGATGAATTAGTTAATTAATGGAAAAAATAACGAAACGATTCTTCGATCTATTTATTGGCAGATTTTAATTACATCATGGAAAAGACTCACGATGTTATTTAACGATTTTATAATTTCCGAAAAATTCTTCTTCGATTATTTTGTCAGAATTCGAGTATAGTTTCGAAAAAGTCGACGAAATGAAGTTTTCGAGATTTCTTTTACAACGAAAGGTGCAACGACCAGTTGGGTTTTGTCGAATGATGAATAGATATGGAACAGTAACAAGTATCGTGGAATTTCGAGGGAACACGTCGATAAATGACTATGATTTTTTCGTCTTCGTTGGAACGCTATTTTTGGTCATTCGCGACCTATTCGTTGGGTGAATGGGTCTTTGATTAGAATACCAAATCGATGTCTGTCGATTACGATTGGAGCTAGACTGTGCCTGTGATTAATTCTGTTCTAATGGAGAAAATTAATTGCACCACATGATGCGATAAAAGTAATAAAAGAAATTACTAGACACCATTAATTTAAAAGTTTTTACTATTTCAAAGAAATTTGCATGCGAGTATAAATAACCCTTTGAACCTCGACACGATTTAAAACTATATCGCAGTTTCTATCAAATTTAAAATTCATTATCCTATTTACAAAATTACAATTTCCTATTCTGTATTAAAACTTTTATTTTCGAATTTAACGATTTGTTACAATTTTTTTAAATAAATCAGTGAATACTTCACTTCAGTATATTTTTATATGTAATATAAATATTACATATAAAATATTTTAATAACGTGCTCGAGGAGCATTGTAAATTATTCAACAATTAACGAGTGTTTACATTGCTGTTCGTTTCCAAGAATTAAATATTTTGATTCTCCTAAAACGCGTACGCGAAACAAAACAGGTAACATTCGTATGTAATTAACGAGCCAAGGTTCGATCATCGTTCATCGAACGAGGTCGATGATAATCCATTACGTAATCTGTGTTTAGTTCACGAATATCAGCGAAGATTCGGCTCTGATAACGCTGGCAGACAGCCGATTAATCGCAGGCTAGTTTCTTCTCGCAAACAGTCGACTGCTTCCTTGTTAAAACAGTGTCAAGGTATCCGAGATCGTCAAAATATACATATTTTTCATATACTGCGACGAATTTAAGATCCGCTCTTCTCGACATTTATCAACCGACAAACTCGAGTAACTAATCGTAGAAGATTAAAATTTGATGGACGATCCCTTCACGCTAGATATACTGACCCGTAATAACTAAGTATACCAGTGATTATGAAAGTAAATCGGAAAATATCGCGATAAATTAGAAAATTAATTACAAAGAAACTACAAACTATTCGATGAGTTTTATATTACTGTAAAATTACTAAATGTAATACAAAATAAATAAAAGATTCATTCCTTTTAGATTTTGGGGTTAGAATACTTTCATAAGTATCGGCACGAATATATTATATTCGAATGATAATAATTATAAATTATAGATATATTATATTATAAATAATATATTTATAATTATAAAGACAAATAACTATGCACAATTAAAATTTCTATTTCTATGAAAGAGATATTAATTTTGTCAAAAATATCTATACGTTTTCCAGGAAAGTAAATGATCCGAAACAAGTCATAAATGACTCCTTTGGTAGTTCTACAATTAATTACTTTCTGTCGAGTTTGCACAAAGATGATAAAAGTGAAGAAGAAACAGCGAGATACTGGGAAATTTAACACTTTCGATACCCTTCGTTCAATTCCAGGTGTTCCGTCAGTACCAGATATTAATCACATTTAAAGAAGCCATTATCTCGAGCAAGAGAGCCGTCGGCCATGTTCCTAGCCTATAAGGAAGCGCTATTCTCATACATCTGAAAGCTATACCCTCTTATCAGAAAATAATCGATAGATTCGTCTGGTTTTTTCGTAATCTTGTTAATTTTCCCATCTATTGGTCTCTGTCTTACAATTTTATCGTTGTTCAACGATAAGCATGACGTACCAACGTCTCTTCTGGCCGATCGAAACGCGCTCGCGACGGTGGCGCCACTATACGAGTCTGCCGCGTACCGCCATCTTTTTCCAAGATTCTGCCAATGAAACGTCAATGGTCGTTACTCGAATTGGAAAAAGGTCATTAATTATTATTTCTAGTGGCCCTTGGTGTTTTTCCAAATAACAGTTCGTGTTCGACCGATAATGGACTCCGAGGAATAATTTATCGTAAGAAACGGCACATCGGTAGGGATATAGCAATCGTTTAATGCGTAGGGAATTTAGAAATAACCGTGGTAGGCGTGTTTAATTATTTAAGCACTATTGGTCGACTTTTTGTGACTTAATGGGTCGGTCGTTGAATTATATTATCATCTGCGAGTTAATAATCGGTGTTCCAAGCACGTTCCTTTCGTTGAGAAATTTTATTAACTATGGATGTAGGTAAAAATTAATTTCGGTTAGTCGGAGAATGTTTTATAAACTTTGTTACCTATTTAGTCCTCCAAGAATCGCCTATTTAACGAGTTTATGAATGAAACGCAGTGTTCCTTCGAATCGATGAAGCTCCGATAAAAGTGACTCATTCAGGAAGCTATTCAAGGAACTAATTCATAATTCTGTTCCCACGATGCTTATCACTCGCACTAATCCTTTGTTACACTACATTAAGATAGACTGTATAATCTATTTCGTGCTAACACGTATAAATTCTAGTCGAAATGCGAATATCGAATTAAATTACGATATTAGCTGCGAAAATACGAGAGAACAGCAAACCGTAAATAAGTCTCGAGAGCAACTTACTCGGTAGACATTTATGTAATTGAGATGAACCAAATGCGACTTCGATTACGCGAAATGGATTTCAATTTAATTTTTAAGTTTGCAAAAGTTTGCGAAACTTCGATACGAAGTTCTAGAAGTCTCTATTTACCAAAATAGCACGCTTATCAAGCTCGATGCACAAAATCAATGAAGCTTCTACGCACACAATGCCTCGCGTGTCATTATCGCGCAGCTTTATCCTACATCGCGGCGCCTGTCAATTTTTCTTGCGGATTTTTTCATTTTAAGAATTATCTCGAGTAAAATTCTTACACGGATGAAATACACGTAATGGCTCGTGGAAAGTCTGTCCATTTATCGGATCTTATCTATAGATAAGATTGCCCCGTGTTCTATCCATATACCGCACGTTCTCGAATTTTTAATTTTCCAACTTACACCGATTACTCGTGACATGTCACATATTTTTACACGCGAAGAAATAGTCATTGTTGAACTATCATTGAATGTATATTTCTATTGACCTATAGTGAGAGGAGTTTTTATTTGGATGGCGTCACCCTGTATCGGGATCTACGTTTGCTTCGAGGAACGGGAATGCGTCGTCATAGGGCCTATAAGAACCTGGTTGAAGGGTTCGAGGGAACCCTCTTTCGACAATCCACCGTCTGCAACACCCATCTCATAAACCTCAAGCCTCCGCGTATTTGTACCGCGAGAGAATAAAATATAATCAAAGTTTAAAGTTCAATCTCTATAAATCCGATCTTTTACCACACTATTATTATTCTTTTGCCCTGTTTGACCTCTGCGTTTAAAAATTGTTTACCAACACTGGAACAAAATTATTTAATAACAAAATTACACTCTAGTTTCAAAATTTAATTTGTCAAAAATCGTGATTTATACGTTAAATTCTTAACATTCTTGTTGAAAATAAGATACGTCATAACGTATCGAATATAGAAAAATTAATCCGTCAAGAGAAATAGACATATCTTTAACCCACTTGCATCATAGAACTACTTAAGGTGCCATGTTCAGGCGACTAGCCAGTATCACTGCGCGCGTATCAGCACCTACTCGTAATGGCAGTTAAAAGGATTTTCACAACAAAAGTAAA